AGAGAGAGAGAGAGGGGGAGAAAAAAAGAAAAAAATCTGATAAATTGTGGGAAAAGGGATGAAATGGAAAAATTATCAAGAAAGGATGGAAAAACCAAAGCAATATGATAGAAAATTAAAAGCGTATTACTAATAACATGGTTATTTTTCTATTTTACTTTTTTCATTTTTTAGAAATTTTTATACAAAATAAGTTGAGGGAAAATTGCTATAATGCATCAAAACTTCAAAATCGATGCAAATAACATTACATCTCTACGGATCTAGTGAGATTTGTCCAAAATAAATTAGTTCAGAGGGCTTTAAAATGAGAGAACAAACTTAAATATTGCTTACCGTAAGTTTTGATACCGGTTTTGGTTGCCGATCGTCCCAAAGTTTTTCCCATGTGATCGAATGAGATTCAGATGAGACTTTGGGGTTGTACAAACCTAAATCTAGTTTTTCGCTCCTCAGATGAGACTTACTGCCTTGGGTGAATCTGACTGAACTGCCCTGGTTTTTGCTCTGACCCGGGTCGTTTTATATAGACTAGCCAGCAAGTTGACTCGGGCAAGTCGGATTTGGACATAGCAAGTTTTTGAAAACTTGTTTGAAAACATTTCTCTAAAGTGTCACAAATTTCAAATTTATGTTATCTATCACTTGTTTGGATAACTTAGTTTAAAACGAAGTTAATCTTTTCTTTTGTGAGCTTTCCAACTTCCAAAATGAGTTCACACATTGGAAAACTGGGAGTCTGGAAATGAGTTGTATACTAAAAGTTGCTACTTCTTATTGGCTAGAATGGTATCCTTTCTGCATGAGGTTATATTTCCCACTTATTTCTTCGTTCTTTACAGCACCAGTTAGTTATCATTCTTCATCTTCTTGGGCAACATTAACCAACTGAGAAAGAGTTCCTCTATCCACCTCCTTGTGTTCTTTTTCTAGAAGTTGAGGTGGAAAGAGTCCAATTTTAACTGGGAATTTTAAGTAGAAAGGAGGGACATTTCTCATAATTTTAATGGTGGGCCTTCTAGGACTTAAAGTCTTGATCTTGTTTCATTCTGCTTTCTTAATTTCTTGATTCTTTTCTCTCCTATTTCTCTTTATCTTTTTTTCTCATTTCTTCTTTCTTTTGAAGCTATAAATTAGATTTTACTAAATAAAGGAACTTGATCATAAGTGAGTATGACTGAGGATAAACAGAAGACGAATAATGGGGTGACAACAGAAGGCCACTGGGATTTGGTGCAGCCATTAGATGAGTCAAAGATAAAAAATGATCCAAATTGCAGTCTTACCACGTTAAAACATGCAGATGCATAAAAATACAAAAGAAAGATGATTTTATATTTAAAAACTTATCTATTAAATGAATCTGTTAAACTCTTCTGTGAAAGAATATTAGGAAATATAACCACAACATCTTGTTGACCAACTCTTGATGTAACAAAGGGATTCATCATTTTCTATATACAGAAGAGGACGTGTATATGTTACATCACTAATTTTGAGAGGGGCATTGGATAAGGAGATGCCTATGCTGGGTAGGTCCATCACAAGGAAAGGCTTTCGAGATCATAACTTGGTCACATGAATCGGGGTCTGAGGCATCAGAAATCTTATGACATAAGGCGGGAAGGAGGGATTTAGGGCCAAAATTTGGGATGGGTGTCACTAGCCGGAAGGACAGGCTGAAAATTATCATATGACTGTGGTCTTATAACTCAGTACCAGTTCCAAAAATAAAAAGTAGTGGTACCTTTTCCAAAAAGAAAAAAAGAGGTGGTATTTTATGTCACATACAATCTTGAGAAATAAATAGAATTTATTTGAGATGGTCGACCAAATTCTGCACTCCTTTGGGTTGCTGGGTGAGGGCTTTATTCCCTTTTGGTTATATAATATTCCATCGTACTTGGGGGAGATTATTTTAGTGTTCTATTTTAAAACTAGTTACTAACTGAATTGATTACAATGCTGGCAGGTCATGGTGGTTTCGGTCATGTTGCATTGTGCAGAAACAAATTAGATGGGCGGCAATATGCTGTGAAAAGAATCCGTCTCAAGGATAAAAGCCCGTCAGTTAATGAAAGAATTTTAAGGTAATAATTTTTCTATGTTAAATCAATTTATGTTCTCATACTGAAACTTTGAGGCTTGAATATGGTTGTTATATTTATTTTTTTGCAATTGATTGGTATGTAGATATTGGTTAATAGGTTACTTTTTTCAGTGTGTTATTGTACCCATGCAATGTACTTGTACACATTTTTTTTTTTTGATAATGTTAACCTTTAAAAAGAGGAGTACAAAGAGCTAGGTGATCCACAAGGCGGATGCTCTAGGATTGAAAAAATAAATAAAAGTGCAGAATCAAAAAGCCTTCTTTTTGAAGGTTACAAACAAGAAAGCAACCCAAAAAAAGACGCCGATTCAAAAAGTCCTGCTAGGTTCCTCCCATTGATGCCGCTTCTTTAGCTAGTGTGTCTGCTACCTGGTTTCCTTCCCTCCAGTTATGCTTCCATAAGACGCACATATCCCTGCACAGGTAGTTGATCTTATCAAAATAATGAACTAGGAACCAAGCTGGGGGGGGGAGGGGGGGGGGCGAAGAAGGCCTCTGAGCCCAAGAGATGATATGCTTAGAATCCCCCTCAACAGTAATGGAGTGAAATTAAGAGGTTGGATTAGCTTGAGCCCTTCCAAAAGTGCTATCGTCTCAGCCTCCATAGAGTCGGTGTGACCAATAGAATTAGAGGCAGACGCCACAGTTGTTCCAAGGTGATCTCTAACGATAGTTCCTACTCCGGACGGCCCAGGATTACCGAGGAAGCACCTGTTGAAGTTAAGCTTGAGACGACCTTGAGGAGGAGGTCTCCAAAAGGACGTCCGAGGTAAGCGTTTGCGACTGTACTGTAGAACATCACCAGAGTCTTGGAAAAAAGCCGTCGTAGGTACCCCTTTGAAACTGTGTTGATTAGTTGCCCAAAACACGGCCGTGGATTTGAGCTTGGCAAAGGTCTTATACCACGAAGAGTACTCCCCCCGGAAGATTCTATTGTTTCGCTCGATGCAAATAGCCCAAAGAGAGGCTGCTACTGCTGTTTTCCAATGTAAAATCCCAGCCTTAGGCCAAGGAAAAGATTGAATAGAGGAGAGAATGGAGGGTACATCAGCCAGGAGCACCCAATTGATACTAAAAAGGCTAAGGAGTTCCCCCCACAGATTGAAGGTGTAGGGGCAGTGCAGGAACAGGTGGACATTGGTTTCCTCATCTGCCAAGCACAAGACACACCGGTTAGGTAGAGGAATACCTCTTCTTTGGAAATGGTCTACTGTGAGTGCCCTTTGTGAGAGGACCAACCACATAAAGACCTGAATTTTTGGGGGAGTGAACGAGGCCCACGCCTGCGCAACAACAGAAGTTGGTGTGATGGGGAAAGTGGGAGGCTGCGATAAGCTTCGGTAAAAAGAGGAAACCGAATGTCCCGGAAGCTGAAGGGGCCCAAATAATGCGGTCAGGCCCTTGGAGAGCGATGAAAAATTCTTGAAGGCCAGCCGCAAGTTCGGTGAAAAGTAGTATTTTTTTATCGTTAAGTGCCTGTCTGAAGACTGGATTCCAAGATCGCAGGGACCCTGGCAGTGTCATCTCTTCTGCAATTGTTGCTCCTTGAACCTGAGCAAGTGAATAGAGATCTGGGAATCTATCCATTAGAGGAGTATGTCCGAGCCACAGATCTTGCCAAAAAAACATAGGGTTAACAGCTCTCGGGTGGGATCTGATGTGAGATTTGAACACCTGATTGGCCGAGCAAATCGATCTCCAGATCCCGTAGGATCTGTACTTAGGTTTGCAATCAGGTAGCCAAGGCGAGCTTGGAAGTCGATAGGTGACTATTCTTCGACACCACTTCCCTAGAAGAGTTAGGTTTTGCTTCCTCAAGTTTTTTATCCCTGGCCCTTCGAACTTCTTAGGTAGGCAGAGTTTCTCCCATGTAATGAGATGGAATTTGTGGCCTCACCCAACCAGAAGAACCTGCGCATCAATTGTTCGATCCTTGAACTGATCGCTACAGGCATATGGAAGATTTGACATTTGGTAGACAGGGATGTTAGGCAAGGTGGCTTTTATGAGAGTAAGCCTACCTCCCAAAGATAAGAATCGACCTTTCCACCCTGCTAATTTGCGACCTACCTTTGTCGATAATGTGAGACCACGACTGCTTTTTTGGTGTGCCCAAGCAAAGAGGTAATCCGAAATATTTGGAAGGTAGATCTTCTACCCACAACTATCAGCGAAGCTTCTGAGGGTAATGGGGTCCATCGCTAACCCCATCATTTTGGATTTGTCGAAATTAACTTTGAATCCCGTAGTGAATTCGAAGCATCTGAGAAACAATAAAAGATTGTAAATCTCTTCGGGAGTAGCATTACAGAAAACCAAGGTGTCAACTGCGTATTGGAGTGAGTCACCATAGACCTTGGATCCCCACCAAGAAACCTTGCATGCGACCTGCTGCATACATTCTGAAAATGGATTGACTGAATACTTCTGTTGAGATGGCAAAGAGAAATGGGGAGAGGGGATCCCCTTGTCTTAAAACCCTAGAAGAGGGGAAGAAACCTTTAGGGATAAGGATGGAAAAGTGAGGAGAGTAACACGCTCTCATCCATCCTCTCCACCTACTATCGAAACCCATTCTAGATTGAGTTTCTTCTAGAATATCCCAATCGACGTGATCATACGCCTTCTCCCAATCAAGCTTAACGATGATCCCAAGTTCTTTGGTCAAGTGCCTGGAATGGATGCATTCATGAGCCACAAGGCCCCATTCAGTATCTGGCGATCTTTAATGAAAGCACTTTGAGTCGGTGAAATGACTAAAGGAAGGACCTCTTTGACCCGAGAGGCCAAGGCCTTGGAGATAATTTGGTAGGTAGAGTTCACCAGACTAATGGGGCAAAAATCTTTAAGCTGGGTCGCACCTTTGATCTTAGGAATAAGAGTGATGAACGTGGCGCTCATAGCACAGTGAATTATCCCCCTCAAGTGAAATTCTTCAAAGAGAGCAAAAAATTCATCTCTAAAGGATTCCCAAAAGAATTTGAAAACGGTTATAGGGTACCCATCAGGGCCAAGGGATTTGTCCGAGCCCAGGGAAGAAATGGCAGCCAGAATCTCAGGTTTAGAGAGGTCTTTCCAGACAAATGGCTTTTTATTCGGGGGGAGCGAGAGGAAAGAAAGGTCCCCCATGGCGGGTGTAGAGATTTGGGGAGCAGAAAACAAGTTTCTGAAGTAAGAAGCTTGTTCAATTTCTTGAGGTTGATCGAGAAGGTTTTCCCCCACCAGAAGGTGGGAAATTGTATTGTCTCTATGCCTACAGTTGGCGGTCTTGTGGAAGAAGCCGGTATAAATTTACAGTTGTACTTGTACATTTATCTCCTTTTGATATGATCAGGTTTTGGGCATACATGGTTGAGTTTTTCTGTGTCTCTTGTATGTTCTAAATATAGCATTAGCAAGTAATATTTGTAGCTTCTCAATGTTAGTGCCTCACCAATTATTTTGTGATCTATAACTTTTATGGCATATTTGATTTTTTGGTGAAAAGTTTTTAGTAGTGCTTCCATGTTTGATGCTGGAAGTGCTATAGCAGGAGGCCTGTCTGGAACTTCCAATTTCCTCAAAAAGTAGACACCACAGCTTCCATGCCCCCCCATCGAAGACAAGGTTTGGAAGTGGGGGATGGACTGCTGTGTCATTTCCTAATTTGTTTCTTGTATATTTTCTGTTATTTATTTTTCTAAAACTTTGGTCTAAATGAAATTTGGAGATTTTGGATGCCTCATTGGGGCACATCTGTATACAAATATAAAACAAATAATTTGACTAAAATAAGATGACCAATAACCCCTCAAAGTTTCAGGGGTTTTTTGGTTTTTTTATTTTTAAAATATGTATTTTATATTTTTTAGAGGTGGGTGAGGTCTAGAAGAATTGATGCTCTTCTAATTTTAGCTCATTCCCATGCATATAAAAAAATTCAAATTCTTTTCAACTGTCCGATTAAGATTAGATGGTCCAGATCGTTGGCCTTTTAGGTGAGTGTGAACTATATGGTGATTTTGAAAAGGATGGCCTTATCTTCATCCTTTTTTTTTTTGTTACCCCCATATCAGATGATATGAAAGTTGGGAGTGTGTGCCACCTTATTTGGGCTCATTTGTTAAAAACATAAAAACTAATTCAAACAAAATAAAATAACCCAAATACCCCTCATGTGCACAAGTGTGAGAAGTATCATTATCATCAGCAGCATTCGAGCCTTATCCCAACTATTTGCATTCGGCTATGCGAATCATGTTTTGTCATTTACTCTATCAAGGGCCATACCCACAGACAGACAGAGTAAGAAGTATGCATGCCTAAAATTTTTGCTCTATCCGAAGTATATGCAAAATGAAATACAATAAAGATAATTAGACATGCTCTCCACCATCTAATTTGTGGTGACCTAGAACCACACTTTTCTCTTACATGATCTATACAGTCCAATTTGTTAGACCTAGTTTGGGTGAGCTATGATTTTGAAATTTTCATTACTTACAAATATCACCCTGTTATCAATGAAATTTTTAATGAAATGGTTAAAACTAGCTAGTTTCCAAATGTCTAGGTTTCTAGAATTCCAAGTTCAATCAAACACATGCTTCCAAACTTCTAGGAATTCCTGACAGGTTATCAAACAGAATGTTTACTAGATCCATAGATAAGATTTCCGGCTTCTAGAAGTCCAAAACATCCATATCTCAGGGGATATCCAGCTTCTAATTATCAAACAGGCCCTTGGTATTTGTCTTGTTTGGGTTTTGGTTCTCACTCGTGTAGTTAGCTTTGTTGATTGCCTCTTTTGTCCAATTCTTGTTTCCCTCTTATGAACTAAGATGGTAAAACAACTTAGGCCTTATCCATTTGCTTACAAATGAATGTTGAGTGGCTACACAAATATGCATGTTTCCAAGGAAGAGCGGATCAACTTGGTGATCTTGGAGGAAGTCATTTAGGCACTTAGACTTGCAAATGATTCCCACTTAACTGGATTGTTCCAATAATTTCAATCACACTTGTTGGGCTCTGGAGCAGGACTTGGAGTGGGATAGGGATTGGGAGTGAGGGATCATGAGAGGCTAGAAGATCCCTGTCGGTGGAAGCGCCATTCCTAAAATTCATATGTTAGGTATCGAGATCTCCAAGGATCTCGATTTAATCCTTTTGGCGATCTTGCTCCCAACTTTAAAAAATATGTATAGACTAGGACTATGTATACATGGATGACGTAATATATAAACAACAAGCTATTCAGCTATATGAAAAGTGTAGTTGCATTACTAGCTGGCTATAAATAAAGGAAATTGTCAATTGGTTGTTATCTTGGTTTTGAGGTGGGAATCGAGATCCCTGAATTTAAGGTTCAAGATCCCTTGGAGATCCCTCTCCTGCAATGTTGGAGTGAGATTCCTGAGCGGAGATCAGCACCAAGGTTGGAGATCCCAGCAACTATGGTTTCGATACTCTATTGACGCTAATTGACTCTAAGTTCTATCTAGTTTTTTAAGCACCAGTTCCTGTTGACATGAAGTCATCTATGATGGAATCTGAAATAGGGACATATAATTGACCCAAATATTACAAAAATGGTCCTAATGAGATTAGAGTGGGGAACTGACTAGCCACCCCGTGAACTTCTCAATTACTAGGTCCTAAAAGAATTTTTTTTTAGCATGTGCACTCAGCTTTTGTAAATGTATAATGCTTAAGTTAATTTGTTGGAAATTCCTCATTAACTGAAAGGAATAGCTCCAACTTACAAGATATAATAAAATCTTCCTCAACAAAACAAACGGACTAGCTCCTTTAAGGAGCAATAAACAGAAGGTATAATAGTCTTAAGTCATTGACTGATACACCCTTAAACTTGATTCATGTTTGAGTAGAGAATATCAATGAGGGAGAATTTTCCTGGTGTGGTTGAATCATTTGATGGCATTTGTTATGTATTTAGCTATCTGCCTATCTGCTAATAAAAAAAAGCATATAAGTCGAAGCAATATCATCAATAAGTTTTCCACATTGGAAGTGACTGTTCAATGTGCTCCATATGGTCAGACAGACCTGATTAGTAGCTGCATCCTTAATGCCCATGTACAATGTATGACATTGATGGGTGTGCCCAGTTCTCTTTGCAAGGTACCATGGTGTTTCTATCAGTTGGATGTCTTTTCTTTCCTTTACCCTCTTTGGAGGAAGGTTTATGTAGATTCAAGGCTTTCAAGCACAAGGGCTACATCATATAGCGTTTATGTTATTCCTCGTAAAAATTTTCATCTTTTGAGCTTGTTCTCTTTCTGAAGTTCTGCTTTTGTGCCATGTCTTGATTTGAAATGCTGATTTCTTTCCTACATCTGCTGTTTATCTGTCCCGACATTTATACTGACCGCAATGAATTATGTTCATGTCAAACTAATACTAGCTATGTTTGCAAGGTGCTCAGGGAGGTGGCAACACTATCACGTTTGCAGCATCAACATGTTGTCCGGTACTATCAGGTTTAACACGTTCTTTCTCCTAATTCTTTTACTTATGCATTTGTAAACTGAAACATTTTACGCAATCTTGGAAGGGACATTGTCGTTATGCTTCTTCTCTCATTGAGATATTGCTAACCATGGTTTCCACCACTGACATATGGTGTAGGAAAGTAGATATTCTGGTAATTTTGTTTGACTTAATTATTCGGGATATGAAATGCTCTTTGGTGGTATTGTTATTTATTTTTATCCATGATAAAAATGCTTCCTTAATTATATTGGATTTTTCCTTTGGTAAAGGAACGAAATTGCCATCTTCATCCTGGCACTTGTAGTGACACTTAACTTTTGTTTCATTAAAACTTAATGTTCATCAATTTTTCATTTCAGAAGGTATAACAGAATATTAGCTTCCATGGCTTATTATCTATTGTTGATGAACCATTCCATCTGGTTCTTGTTGGAATATGGGTGGCAATCAGATCGAGTTGACCTGCTGACCTGGGTCTGGGTCATGGTCCGGGTCCGGGTCAAGCCGACCCAACCTGACCCTGTATAAAATATATAAAGAACTATATTGTAGATACTATACAGTATATAAATTAAATTTTTACTTTTTATTAATTTCTAGACCCAAGTCCAGGTCCAATGTCTTGGACCTGATCCACGTCCAGGTTGGGTTGGGATCTGGGTAAAACTTAGTCAGATCAGGTCCGGGTCCGGGTCAACCCATACCGGACCCAACCCGTTGCCACCCCTATGATGGACAAGTGTTCTTGGTGTCTGTGTTCCAATTTTGAAGTCTCAACCTGATTGGTCTATTTCAAAATGGATTGATTAGTGTTTTCTTGGTTTATTTTTTATAGTTTTCCTATTAGACTGGTCATCTTGTAGGATTTCCTTTCCCTCTTGATGGCTATGTATAATACATTGACTTCCTTTCCCTTTCGATGACCATGTATAATACATTGACTTCCTTTCCCTCTCGATGACTATGTATAGAACATTGTGATCCAATTAGTATTTCTTTAGTTTTACTTTTTTGGGAACATTGAAATTATAGTCAATTTAGTCTTTTAGATTTGTTGAGATTTAAGGGGCATTTGTGCCTTTTATTGTTCTGGAGACACTAGGGTGATTTTGTCATATATGATTGTCTGGGGTTCAGTCTGTTGAAGCACTAGGATGTTTCATGAGGATCATTTTTGTCAAATTAGGTGCTTAAAGTATTCTCTAGAAGTATACAAATTTATTATAAAGAAAACAAAGAGAAGGCATTGAAATATTTGGGCTCGTGAAGAGACCTTTCTTTTGGGGTGGACTCCCTTGCTGAGCTAGAGAGTGCTAAATCTCGCAGCTTTCTGGGTGGCCTTCCTTGCAGGCTCAAATAGAGGGCAGTTTCTGTCACACCTTTCTTTTCCATTTTACTTTTCTTTATATTATTTTTTTCCTTAATTTTCTCCCTTGTTTTTATAATGGATTTCTTTCTCTCTACTATTGATGGTTTGATATGTGCTCATTAGTTATTGATGCAAACATAATACTCTGATGGTGAATGGTTTCCTTTTCCATCCCTTCAGCTTTGCTTATTTAAGCGTGGTAACTAAAGTAATGTATCTCTTTTTTCCAGGCTAGTTTATTGGCTTGAATACTTGATTATGAAAAAAAGGAAATGATTGCTATTAGCTTGTCATCTCATAATTAACCAATAGCTTGCGGTCATCTAACTTGCACAAAACTTTAGATGTTATGTTTCATAATGAAGTATTCATGTACTATGATACATTCAATTTTGAAGGTCATAAGTTAGCATTCATGGAAAAATCCAATCCAGATGCTATGTATGCTGATTAATTTTAGGGAAAGTTACCTGCTCCCCCCTTCCTGCAAAAAGTGGTTCACGTAAACCCCTGGATCTACGTAAATCCAACAGATTCCCTCCAACCTCAAAAGTTAGGACGGTTAGGCCTACCACTTTCTTTTTAATCCAAATGACAAAAACCAAGTGCTGCATCTTTACCCATCCCTGGCTCGCCCTGACCACCCTTCCCGTGGCTCTCATTCTCCACTCTTCCGAAATTATTTTTTCTCTCCACCCTTCCCTCGGATCTTCTCTCCACCTTCCCCAAATTGTCTTTCTCTCTCCACCGTTCCCACTTGCTTTGCCATTATTTGCAACCCCTTCTCTCCCTCTACCCTTAACACGGCTCTGTCTCACTCAATATTTTGAGTATCCGAAAAGAGTGCCACAAACGGCTTGCAGTATGGCTTCTCAGCCTCTGTAGAGCTAGAGTGGGAGCAAGAGATATAATAGAGAGAAAGCAAGAGAGTTTGGGTTGAATTCAACATAAGAGTTTCTCTCTCCAGCTTTAGTGTTTTAAACCTCTATTAGCCGAGTTGGGCTTATGTTTTTTTATTTGACCATCATCCAGTATGGTGGATGCTGTAACAGTCAGCCTCAATCAGACATATTTGAGGAGTGCCACATATCTCTTCCTAATTTCTATACTGGTTTCAGCAAGTATTAGGGTTTATTTTACTTCTTCTCTCTCTAGCTCAAAAGCCACAAAGCCATCCCAAGTCCATGATAGCCCAATGGAAGTGTTATCAAACCAAACCATTGATTCAGCAGAACATGGAAGAGTCTCATGGCCCACATCATGATTTGCTTTCCGTGGCTCCTTCAATGAGCAAAAAGTTCTCCATTCAAAATTTGTTTCATTTACTCTCTTTGGTGGGGTGAAGAAGGCACATCCATGGGAAGAGTGGAGAGAGACCCATGCTAAGGGAGAGCGCGTTTAGGTTCTCTTTTCAATTTGGACATCTTTAAAATTCTTGAAAACTAAATGGTAGTTTTTGTAAATGATGTATGCAGAAAAGGTGGGGAGGGGGACTATGTATTTTAGGTAGACAGGGGGTCTACATGAGCCATAAGTTTCAGGGAGGGGGGAGTAGGTCATTTTCCCTTAATTTTATTAATTGTCATGATTATTATCTTTTTCTCGCCCTTATGTAATTCTTTAAAAATTCCATTTTCTTTGTTTTGTTTAATGATGATGGCTTCTTGAAATGCAGGCTTGGTTTGAGACAGGGATTGGTAGTTATTTGGGCGAAATTACCAGGGGTTCCATGACTATAGGGTGCTCAAGTAGCAGTTTTCAGATAACAGACTCGACTAATGTTATGGAACCAATAGACAAACTAGAATCCACTTATTTATATATACAAATGGAGTACTGCCCTAGGTATGAATTGTCTTGCACTAGATATGTATTTCATGACGATACATTGTTTTCTTTTTGCCTATTATAAATTTATTTTTTTCCGATTGGTTTGTTTTAGCTGTGGAATAATTGTTTAGATGGTTTAGATCATAATCATCTCCTCATCATTATGAACTTGTGAAGAATGGAAATTGTCAGCAGATCCTATGTTAAATTATCAGGAGCTTAGTATCACTCATATATGCCTTACCATGTAATATTGTGAACCTAATTGTACTCCAAGATATTGCCTGTCCTATGTGTCGTCCAAAAATACGGATAGGTGTGCATTCTGTAATCGGTTAGGGCATTGTTCAAATGATTATACAGAGCAAGGGTTGACTTTTGGCTGTAGAGAGCCATAACAGATCTTTACATACATGGTATGTCCTTAAGTGTTGAATGTCAACTTCTGCTTGTGTGGTAACTCATCATTGTGTCTGGCAAAATGATAAAAATGTCACTATGAAATTTAGCTAAACAGTGGCAAAACTGTTTCCCATTAAAAAGGTGGTGTACACTTTGCAATGGGAAGTTTTTCTTGTTCATAATTGAGATTTTCAAATAGTTATGGTCTAGAATTATTGTGTAAACATGAAACATTTATTTATTTTATTTTGGGAGTAGACACAATTAGTATCCCTATCATTGGACTCATGTACACTTCTAAAACTTTTGTAATTAATATGACATTGCGAATATCTACTATCTGATCTATTTGGATATTTCTTAAAATCATGCTTTTTGATGCTTACATACACTATCTCTTTGTTCAGTTAGGTGTATTTTGCTGTCTTATTTTTGACTTTATGCATATTATGTTGTGCTCTGTAGTATGTTGTATACATGTATGTGCGTACCATACTAAATAACTTTAGCAGTATACATGTATATGCAATATGTATGTGTAAAATTCATATGTATTTTGCCTATTTATTATAAGCTTATACCTAACTTTTCTTTTCTAGAGGTTTTATTTAGTTTTCTATTTTAGAAAGGATAAAAATAAGAAAAAGGAGAACACATGTTGCAAGTTTAAAAATGGTTTTGATTAGGTTCGAATTGGTCTGCACTATTAGATACATTGTATTGCTAAGTTTGGGCGGCAGCACCTCTTTGAATCCTGGTCATGTCATTATTCTTTGTTTTATTTAAGCATTCATATTTTGAAATCTGGAAATTTACTAACCATGGTGATCGTGTCTATTCTTTTTCTTTTTCCCTCTTGTTTCTTTCTTTAAGAACTCTACGCCAGGTCTTTGATTCTTATAATGGTCTTTTTGACAAAGAGTCAACTTGGCACATGTTCCGTCAAATTGTAGAAGGCTTGGCACACATACATGGGCAAGGCATCATCCATCGTGATTTGACACCCAGCAACATTTTCTTTGATACTCGCAATGATATAAAAATTGGGGATTTTGGCCTTGGTAGGCTTATTCTCACTTTACCAAAATATAGTTATTACAGTATAATTTTTTCATTTAAGTATGGAGCATTTGGCTGTGTTTGGCATAGCATAGTAGTCATACTGTAAGATGATGGTGCATTATTGCTGCACTTGTGAACTCCTTTTATGTTTTCTAGTATAAGAAGACACTCTGTTGTTTGTTTATTTCTCTTTGATTGTACACAATTGTCATAGACCTTCGTCCCTTCACTTTTCTTTCTTCACTTTTTATTTACCAGATGAGAACATTAAATGCAGTTCTGCATCTTGATCATATTGCCTCACCAGTAAGCGACTGGATATCCAAGTTCCCCTTGCTTCAAACTTTAGATCGGGTCCCACAGTTAGAACCTTAGTTTGGTGTGTATTGTAAGCTGATTTTTTTTCGAAACATCTTTCAAGCATTCTAAAGATCACTTAAAGAAAGTAAAAAATAGGAGTTGGTCTCAAAATTTCCCAGATCTGACATCCATCAAAATGGATGGTCGAGATTTAGTCTTGGAGTGGATAATGTTTGGGGATGCTTTTTGAGTTATTTTTATTAAAAATGGTAATAGAGCGTTATATATGTATAGAGAGTTATATATTTATTTGAGATTTATGGGGTCCAATACCCATAACTAGGTGTTTGATCGGCATGACCAAATCAATAATTGGTCCTTCAGGATCACATTATCATTTTCGCCCGTGTGTGTGCACATGCGCGCACGTGTTTGTGTGCCCATCAGTTGTTAGATGTTGTCAACTCAGGGGTTTTAAGGAATAGATTGTGAGTACGATAATTAGGCCCTAAAGCTTTTTTTTTTTTCTTGTTATTTGAATGATCACAAGGGGCCACATCTCAATGTGAAGCTCGAGTTGCAGAATTGAGTCCAAGCTCATGGAAGTCACTTTATTAGATAATGGATCTATCACATGGCCATATGGCCACTTTATATCAAATCCATAGTTCTTTAGCTTGAGCTAGTCTATTCAATCACGCCTTCAATGCAGTGTGAAACTATAAATTTTAGTAGATCTTAATATTTATGATTTGGCATATTCATTATATTGACCTCTTGTGCTAATTTGGAGTAAAAAAATATGTTTACTTGGTTTACATGTTCCTGGCTAGCTGTTGGACTGGCAGGAGATTATTTAATACGTTAATTTGTTGAGAAGTATGTTCCATATTTTTTTATGACAATTTTGGATGGTCATCTTTTAAAAGTCCGTTTGTTACTTAGCCTTGCAGTCATTGTAACTGTCAATAATATAAACCACTGCCTATGGTGAGGATCTTTTTTTAAGACCCGAGACCATCGTTGGCTTCTAATCTTATCAGGTCTTAACTGATGGAGGTAAGTTTGTTCTCCATGGTTCGGCACCTTTGAAGAAATTTGACACTTTTATTATATGTCCATCAAATCACCAAATTCCAAACTGGGGCTATCTCACCAGTTCTCTCTGCAGGTGTTTGTTAATTGCAAAATCTACTTTCGCATTTCTACCACTTTAAGTGTCTATGGGACAATTTGATTTGGAAAAGGCATCTGATATTCAGCATCTAACAGAAATATGTGTTTCTCCTATTGTGAATTTGCCATCCAACTTGCCATTGTTGTATTAGCAGAACTAGATTACCATCGAGTAACATCTTCATGTTATGTGTGAGATGGGTTGACACAATAAAATTTTCAAATATCTTGAATACATCTAGCCATTAGGATTAATGATGCTTTCGAGTTATTAAGGCATCATTGCTATTTAATATTATAATTTACAGTATATTTTAGGTTTTTAGGTTCTGCCTAATGGCATATTTTGTTATGTTACCTATCCTTAAGTCTTTCCTTCTCCACCTTTCTGAGGCCATACTATCATGTTAAAATGTCCAAAAAATTTTGCACCCTTTTATTTCTTGTTCATGGTGCCCTTAATATCTGATTCTATTCCGGCATTTCTATAAGCTCTATTCTACTTCTTTTCCTTCTATATTGGTTGGGTTATAAAATGTATGCTTCATTGGTTATATTTTGTCAGAAGCACACGAAACAAACACCTTCATATCAATAAAAAACCTATGTGGATATGTACATGCATGCATACATACATATATTCATTCACACATACAAGATATGTGTATTCTTACTCACTTATATACATACATACATATATATGTATGTATGTATGTATGTACATACATACATACATTTCTTATAAAAATCTGTGTGCTGCCTTATGATAAGTTTCCTGAACTCTGAATCTCATGGAAATTGATGGCTATTCACCTGTGCTTACTAAGTGGTGCATGACTTCTTGCTCATCAAAACGCTAATAGTTTCATAGTATAATGTAACCAGCTTTATATAGAGATCTTCTCAAAGTCCAACTCTTTTGATCCCTTTTTTTAATATCTTTAGCTTTTGCATATTGTATTTGCTGGGAGATCATGAATTTCCAAGTTTGTTATGTGATCATAATTAGATTATCATAATTAGAATAGCTTTGTCCATCTATTGTATCTAAGGAATCCAACATTAAGTCATTTTAATGATCTTATTGATATCTAGCCAAATTTCTCAAGCTGGAGCAGGCGGATCTTGACCCTTTGTTTCCTTCTGAGAAAAATGGACTTTCAATTGAAGGAACTGGTCAAATGGGGACATATTTCTATACTGCACCTGAAATTGAGCAGGGGTGGCCTCAAATCAATGAAAAGGTTGCTAGAATCACTCACAATTATCATGTCATATATGAATGCATGGATTTGTTAATGTTTCCATTTATCCTTTTCTTTTCAGTTTAAAAATATGTGCTTATATTTTCCACATTCCACTTTACACAAATAAAAGAATTTCTAAGGTAAAGACTACCATGCATCTTGTACATTAACTGGCATACAAGCTATTAAATATAAATGTAAAATAATTTTTATGAATCTAAAATAACAAACATGAACTCTAGATGACCATCATTATTTATAGTGAGCACATGAAGATGTCCTTGTGTGTATTTTAATGTGTCTTTATATGTTAATATGTGAATCATTACATCATACATCTCTGATTATAAACATGCAAAAGAGTTACATTCTTACCTATATAAACCCATGTACACACTCATGCATTTGCATGCAGAAATATATACATATGAATATACCGATGCATAGATACCGATGTGTAAATGTATACATGCATATATATACACATCTCTGTGTCTATCTATCTATGTTGATATTTATTTTGGGGGAGTTTTGGCCACTCACTTTTTTTAATTATCCATCGACTGTTTTTTTATTCTTCAAAACATGGGTGGTAATACAGCTTCACATTGATTTGGCCACCAACAGTTGGCTGAGGTAAAAAACAGTGGGTTGACCCCTTTCTTTATCTATACAGGGATATTCTATGATACACCATCCTAATGGTAAAGTTTGAAAGTCCAACTCCTATGTGTGTGTGTGTGTGCATGTGTGTGTGTGTGTGTGTGTGTGTGTGTGTGTGTGTGAGAGAGAGAGAGAGAGAGAGAGAGAGAGAGAGAGAGAGAGAGAGAGAGAGGAGGAGAGAGAGAGAGAGAGAGTATATATATATACACACGTACTAGTACGTAATTAAAGTAGTGTGTCGTCGTCGTGTGTAGTAGTAGTAGTAGTAGTAGTAGTGTG